TTCTTCAATTTTATCGTATCGGGTTGGTTCCCAAAGCATAAGATCACAAATTTTGTTAGCTACAATTTTGCTTCAGACCTCGAGTTCGGAAGGTGCTTCACAGGCTTCATCGTGGTCTGTTTCGCAAATGGACTAGTGAAATAAGCAGCTGAACCAGAAAAAGAGAATTCTGATTAAGTTTCTCGCCATTCAAAAACTTATAACTTGCTCGATTTTTATTGTATCGCATCCATTCTTTCGACACAGCGTCATAAATTTTGTCATCTATGATTTTGCTGTAAGGCTCACGTCATATTTTGCACCGAATGTCATGAGATTATGGTTTGTTCGTGCGCCGTACAAGAAAATAAGCTAAAATTCTGCATTAATTGATTTTGGACTCTCATTTCATGGGTCAGATTAGGCCCAGTGGCTCCACTATATCTTTCTTTGACCCAATTTCACAAACACCTTTCACTCATTATATCAAATTTCTCAAGATCATTCTCTCATTTTTCTCTCAATTCTCTCTCAATTTCTCAAGAAAAAAGCAAGAACACAAAGTGCAAGAAACCAAAAACCCCTCCCTCCACCATAAAACTGCCCTAGTCTACGTCCCTCTGAGCATGCGCCGCTTCCGTCCGGCTCCGTCAATTCCGACCAGTCTTCGTATGTGCTTCCGATCTCCTCCATCAGGCAATTTCTTCTCCAATTCACAATACTCTGACGTTATTCAGTAATTTTCTTAATCTTTTTCTTAATTGATTTTTTTGAATAGAATTGATTCTTGAATTGGTTGTGAATTATGATTTAAGAACTCGATAGTTGAACTGTTCATGGATTGATTCTTGAAGTTTCAATTATTAATAAATGTGGAATTGGTTGAATCTCTTGAATTTTGACGCGTTCATAATTGAATTTGTTGAGACATATGCGTCGGAACTCACATTTGTTCATGATTGTTGAGATTTACATGTCGTAAGTTAATTCCGATTCATTATCCTCTTGACGATTGCTTAATCTCATGAATCAAAATTAATTTCCAAATTGTTTAATCACATTTTACGCATAAATTGGTTCCGTTCCAATGCTTGATGATTGTGGTTTCGATATCGATTTTGCAGATGCATGTATTTTGTAAATTCCGATTGAACTTCCATATGTTGATATTCGAAATTAGTGCATTAAAACCTTGATTTTCTAATCAATTATTGGTGAATATCAACATATGTGTACTGCTATTCGGAGTTTTCAAATACACCGTAACATGTGAATTAATTCTGGCTTGTTGCATTTTCGAACTCGTGTGCACAATTGATTGATACCGATACCAAATTCCATTGATTTTAAGACAATTTTGGAGTGTTTCATGTGTTAATTATTTGTTGTTCGGAAAATGATTTTCACTTGTATACCATTATTTAATTCCAACTTGATGCTTACTTGAGCTTGTTAGCATATTTGGTGGATACCGGTACCAAATTTAGTTGATTTTATTCTGACTTTTCGAGCACTTCAAAATTACAACAATGTTGTCCAGAATTTAATTTTACATGAACAATGAGATTTAATTCTTGAATAATGCATAAGTGGACTTAATCAGTTATTTCTTTGACACTGGTACCAAATTTGGTCACTTTTAATCCAGTTTTTCTATCGATTTCATGTGTTCCGTCACCGCTGCCCGAAGTTTATACTTGTGGTTCCAATACACATTTAAATTCCATTTCTTCATGATATAATCCCAAATTGAATTGTGATGAGAATGTATAACTCCGATTTTGTTTCTTTGTTATTTCTAACATGTTTGTGGACTTGTGCAAGGGACTTCAAGAGCGCTTTCAATCGATTACCTAACTCGGTTATTCGATTAAAGCATTTTATTCCACTTTATTTATGGATCGATTACCCTTCTGACGCATTTGATTGTTGATTCTCATTCCATGAGATATATATAGTGTTTGGTTTGTCTGTATTTGTATTTCCTGCATGTTCATTGATTGATATTAAGATGTGTATGACACACGTTCTCCTTGTGCTTTATTGATGTTTCGACGCATATTCTTATTATTTTATTGTTGATGCTAGCTTGTGTGAAGTTTTGTGGGTTTCTTACACTCTTTGAGCTTTACTACGGATTGTTATTTGTTCTTTATATTCCTTGCCTATTTTTCATTTTGCATCATTTACCGCTTTCGTTGCCATGAGAAGTAGGAATAAAGATGTATGACTGGGAGTCTCTACTTTAGATGGACAATATTGTTTAAAATACCTTTAGAAGTCAATTCATACATGTGCTTGCTTGTTTAAAGTGCTCGACGAAGGCAATTCTGTGTGTTTACATTTGTGTCAAAGACCTCAAAGAAGGCCTTCACATTCCCATTCCCCATTGATAAAGTCCTCAAAGAAGGAATAAGGTGGAGCAAGGGTTCGTAATCGAGCCCCAACATTTCTAGTCCCCAGGTCATTGTAGCTTACGTCGCACGTTGATGATATGAATAGTGCTACTCTTGTTATCGAGTCAGTCAAGTGGAACAGAGGGTTTACAATCAACCCCCACAATTTGTCTTTAGCTCGTGTTTGCCAATGTTTATGCTTTGATGTGATCTCATTATTACCTTCTATCACCTACCTCGATGACACAAGATCTTGGTTAGGTGTTAGTCGCCTATGACAATTCACTTTCGTTCTTCTCTTGCCTAGATGACACGATATCTTGGTTAAGGGTCGACGCCCCCTATTCTTCTTGCCTTGATGACATGATATTCTGGTTAAGAGTTATTCACTCCCCCGTTTTGCTTGCCTCAATGACTTAATATCCTAGTTAAGCCTCACTTTATCCTACCTTGATGACATGATATCATGGTTAGGTGTCTCTCTTCCTTATCCTACCTTGATAACATGATATCATGGTTAGGTGTTATCCCTCTACCCTTTCTACCTTGGTGACATGATACCTTGGTTAGGTTTGTGCTACTTGAGCGAGTGGGTACTTCTCAAGCTTCGTGTGTTTTCTTTCTATTGCATGATCACATTCTCCCCTAGGATTGTTTGTTCACTCTCCTTCAAGTTTGAACTAATTAGACCTTAGGCTTGAATCTATACATGCCAACACTAGGTAGATTCTCCCTTTGTTAATCCAAACGTTACGACCATCATTGTATGATAACATTAGCGATAACACTAGGTTATTCTCCCTTAGACTTTTTCCTTCCCTCTTTTACATGACTAAAACAAAAACTCTTTTCTTTGGAAAATTCACAAAACACTCTAAAATTGCAAAACCCCTTTTCTAGGTAAAAACACCAACCAATGCAAACCTTTTTGTCTTCAGACCTTTTCTTTTGAAAACCTTTTCATAAAAGGACATGTTTCACTAGCATTGTTCATAAAAATATACAACTCACCAAAACTTTTGAGGTGAACTACGAGTGCCTTGATCCCCATTGCACGGTCGGTGGTACATAGGCACAAAGGTTCGTAACCACGACTGACACAACTAACAAAAACTTTTCTTTTTGTACATAATAGTTTGCATCCATGCATTCCCCTCTAGCATTACGCTTTAGACATAGATTAGATACACCCGTAGAATAGAACAAACTTAAGTGGATCCTGTAGAGTACCACATACGTGAGGGATGCTAATACCTTCCCCTCGCGTAATCGACTTTCTTACCATTTTTCTCTTAGTCGCGATGACCATGCTCCCTTCCTTCCCTCAAGTTTATTCAATGTTTCCTTTCCCTCTCTTGGGATAAATAACATTGATGGAGACTCTTTTGTCTTTCGCCTCCTTCGCGCTTCGATGAAAATCTCATATGCGACATACCCCTACTGGATCAAATGAGCCAACTTGTTAGGCTTGGACGTCCAAAGCTTGTTCCCACCCCCCGATTTCTATTTAATTGTTTTATAACCTTTTCTTGATTATTGTTAAATGTCATTATATTATAAAAGGTTTTGTTTAAATAATTAATTATTTTAAACACTTTTTATTTAATATGGTTAACTAATTTATTAATTAATTTTATTAAATAAAATTTATTTAGCTCAATTAATTATTTTATTTAATTCGATTGAATTGTATTGTGTGATTTAATTTTTGGACTTTGTTGAACTATTTATACGGCTTCATCCTCATTCTTAAACAATGTATTCTACTCCCCTAAACAATGTATTCTACTCCCCCTAAAGTTTGTAATAATTAGTATTTAGTTTATTTTTGTATTTATTTAATTATCCATCATCACTTACACAAGCAAAAATATTTCAAACTAATACTCAATTGTCAGCCATTTTCATACTGTAAGTTGATAGAGCTTTTAAGCATCACAAACGACCACACTCACACACCTGCACGCTTGATCTTGGGCATTCTTACAGTAAATCTATTTCAATTAATTGTTCCAGTTAGTCGTCTTAGAAGACTAGTCCACTATGCTAGTACACTTGCACTTTATTGCTTTTACTTGTGAGGGCCACCTTATATGGACTTGTATGATTTAATTGCTTATCATATTCCCCATTTGTAAAGTTGTATCCAATTATTTGTATGTTTGGAATAATTAATTATTTATACAAAGCCTTTTATAATATAATGACATTTAACAATAATCAAAAAATGGTTATAAAACAAATATATAAATGGAAAATGGGCCAAAAAAATAGTAAAAATAGAAACCGGGGGTGTGAACAAGCTTTGGGTGTCCAGGCCCAATAGAATGGTTCGTCTGATCCAGTAGGGATATCTCTAGGGAGTTCATCATGGGGAGGCGTGATTTGGAACGTATGATTTCCATCACAAAGCTGTTGACGGAAATGGAAGGTGAGCTTTGATAGGGATGTTGTACAGGATACACGACAACGATGATAAGTGTCACCGTTGGATTAGTCCTTGTAAACAAAATTATCCAACAAAACAAGACAACTAATCCTAATTAAACATAACAAAACAAAGAAGAAAAACCCTCTCCCCTCTCTTGTTTCGGTGGGGGACCAAGAACAAACACGGCGGCGAGTATGAAGACAAAAGCGGGTCACGGTGGCATTGAAAACTTCACGGAGGCGCCACCGTGTCAAGGTCAGAATCTCAACAAATTTTCATATTCTTGTTCGTCACCCTCTTCTGATCAGCATTTTAGAAATAACTTCTGCAGAAAACAAACGAAAACAATAGATCTACAAAGGGGTTTTGAAACCCTAAACACAAATCAACAGCGAAAGGCGAAAGATATAAAGAAAGAAACGGATTTGATACCCTCTTTGTTCAAATAACATTTCGACGGAGATGAAAGAGGAATCAGCGGCGGTGAAAGTTCTTTCCGGCCAAGGCAAGAAGCTCCGACGGTGGATTTGCGACCGGTAAGCTTCTTTCTCTCTTATGCTTGTTGTGTTACTGTTGTTAGATGATGGCTAAGCTCTTCTTCTTCAAATCTCAGTGTGAAATTTGAAGGAAACTGAAACCAAGTGGGGTTAGGAGCTTGCAGCATTATGACTTCAAGAGGCCATGAAGGACTCGGTTTAGACCCTTTGGGAAAGATCACCCTGAGTGCTTGAATGATGAATAAATGTTAGTGAGCTTAGGCTTAGGAAAGATTGAATGTTCTTTGTAACATGGGCGGTAGTTTGAACTTTAGGATCATGTAAAAACTTGAAGTCTTGAATGCCCTTTCAAGTTTTGGCTTAGGAAATAAGAAACTTGAAACCTTCTTGTAACCTAAAAAGATGGTGATGTAACTTGAAAACATAGATCAAAGAGAAGTCTTGAATGGCTCTTGTAATGTAGCTTGTATGGAAAATGTGATTGGATTCAAGAAATGAATTTTGAATAGAACAATGAATCTTTGAATTCGAGATAAAAACCTTAACATTGGCATTTGAAATTTAAATGCGAACCTTTGAGAAAATGTGGAAATGCCTACTTTACCAAGCCAACAAAAATCCTTTTTATCTCCTTGTATCAAGAAATGATAATCCAATGAAATGGAATTCCAAACCAAATTAATTTCAAATGCAAACTTAAATTAACTTCAAGCTTGAATTCCAAGACAAAAGGTGAGATTCCTAATGAAAACAAGAGACTTCTCAAGTATTAAGACCATATCTTGCATCAAGTTTCACCATGAATCAAATAAAGGACCGTAATCCTCTTCAAGATATAAAGTAAAATAAAAAATTTCCTTCTCAAATAATGAAAGTCCAAAGATCTTCCCTCCTTTTGAAATCTGAATTCTAAGCCTTAATCCACAAACAAACATCTGGATAGCCTATCCTATGAGATGAAACCAGATAGCTAAAACATGAAAAAATGAAATCTTGACCTGATAATCTAACATGATGCAGTTAAATCCATAACTTCACCTAATAATGAATGATTAATGAGAATGCATGCAACTGAATCAAAAGCTATGAGCCAGATTAAGTTGAATGAGGGTGGGGCAAAATTTGGAGTATGACAAATAAGACTACCTTCAGCTTCCAACCTTTGGCAGCTATTATCCCACCAATCTTAAGCTTCCTCAACCAGCATATGGGTACCAAACTGCACTATCTAGGCTTCGGTGGATCCCATGACTCTGAAGATCTTCTCAATAACCTTCAACCATTTCTGTGCACCATCCGGATCATGTTTACCCTCAAACGTATGTGGCTTGTTATTCTGGAATTTTTCCAAAATTACGAAATTCGACATCTTCAGCATTCTGATTGTTATTCTGCATATCATGCGTAACAACATGTATTGCAGCAGCAAGAGTTGCATCATTTATTTCAGCTACATTGTTCAACATCAATAATGCAAGTTAGGAGAAACACACAACTATATTCATTCTATAGTCAGACTCTACTACAACACCTGGCCAGACGGACCAACTTGCTCTAATACCAATTATAACACCCTACTTTCTCCAGAAAGAATAGTTCGTGGAATAATCAGAGAACACACAAGTAGGATGTCATATCCCATAAAAACTCATGCAATTATCCAGTCACTTCATATCTTTAAATCTCGTCAAATTGAATTAAACAGTGGAATATTCAAATTGGTTCACTTTCACAGCACTAATGCTTTAACAATAATAACTTCCACAAAATTCATGGTTCGTCATAGGTTTGGAAATAAGATATGTAACAAATGAAAAACAACACAAATCAAAATAAATTCTCATAGTTCTCGTGTTACGTATCAGAGCGACTCCTAAGACTCGATCAATAGTAACATATACTCCAAGTACTACTGAGGTACCTGATTATTTGTACTTCCCGAGGAGCACAAACATAACAACATAAAAGGGGTGAGAATTACATTCAATAAATACATGGTGAAAATCACATGCTAAGGAGTAGTAATCACACAATACTCACTAAATCAGGCAATCACAACACACATACAATACCACCACACATTAATCATACTCAGTTCACATTCATTCATACATATATATAATATGACTAAACTGACTTGACATCATGCATGCGGTACCAACACAATTCATACGGTTTATTCTTTGAACCTGATTCCTATCGGAATCCGGATAAGTCGTATACATTCCTCTGAACTACAACTTATCTTCAACTCGACTCCCACAGAGTCTTGATGAGACTAGGCACCCATCATGGATTCCCACCTAGGCTTATCTCCACATGACACGACATGAAAATTCATGACATACACTATGCACAATACAATTAATCATTAATGTATAACACACGACCCACAATGATCACACGTGAGTCATATACTCACCGTAATTCCCTCTAGAATTACCAACCTTGCCTAAGACTGTCCACACAATAACAATCTCATCAACATAGGCAACAACAACACATCACATAGAAATCCCCGTAAAGTTCCATGTTTTACCATTTCCCTTATTATTATTAGTATCCATATGTCCATTGATGTCATACGTACAAACACAAAGAAATTGTATTACACGCGACATCGGGAAAGAAATCTAAAAAACAGGGAAATTTCCATACGTTCCTGCTCATAAACATATAGCCCTGCCCCATATGTGTATGGCCTTGGTGCCTCTCCCCAATCTCTGCGTATGTTACGCATATGGCCAAATTTCCCAGACATCTTACGCGTATCGTACACGTATGACCAGAGGAGGGTTTCTCTTAGATTTCTTCCAAAATCTCCATACTCGCATTACCCTTACCATACGTGTATGGCTTCACTCTCTTACGTGTATCAGCAGATGAGTGGTTGGTCATGGGGACAGGGCGCGTATCGTACGCGTATTGCCCCTGGGAAGTTCCCTCGTACGTGTATGACCTCCCTTCATATGCGTATGAAGAGTCTGCAACTTCAAAAAATATGTTTTTCACATCAGTATGATTTTTCACCCATTGAAACACCTTCAAGCTCCCAAGTTCGACCCAAAACAGTATTCCTACCAGTATAAGCCTAAATAATCTATTCTACTTCATTAACTTATCATTTTATCAAGGTTTTTCACAGTTTAAATTACAGATTCGTCATCTCTTAAAACCCATATTTTTCCAGATATGAAACATGGCAAAACACAAAAAATCATCACCAATTCTTACAAATCTCGTATCACAATTATCATACAAAACACAAAATCCACAACAATTACATGTATATAGAATCAAACACAAGCAAGGAGAATAATAGACATGAAAACCTAAGAGGGAAAGGAACCCTCACTACCCTCTCATGTTCTAATCACCATTAAAGAACTCACTCTCTCTTTCCTTACCTTAATTACAAGCTTTTTCTTTTTCTAACAATGGTGGGAGAATTCCCCTTGCCCTATCTCTGCCTTGTTCTCTTCTTTCTTTCTACGTGATATATGATTATAAACCCTTTCACTTCTTTCTTCCTAATTATGTTTTACTTTTCTTAATTTTAGTAATAATAATGCTAATAATGATAATATTAATAATAATAATAATAATAATAATAATAATAATAATAATAATAATAATAATAATAATAATAATAATAATAATAATAATAATAATAATAATAATAATAATAACATACTCCATCTATTGTCTATTATATTATTATTATTATTATATTATTATAAGGTTTTATTCTAATTAGTTAACTATATTAAGTTCTCACACTCACCCTTAACCACATGCTCTTAATCACACCAATACAATATCACAATCAAACACAAAATAACTAAATATTTAAATGGGGTGTTACATAAAATGCAGCCAAAACCTTGCAATTTCAAGTCGCTTTTTCTCCTTGTACATCACTTAACATCATCAGGTGAAAACCATGTGCAATGATTGGCTTAATTTAGAGATTTGAGTGATTTATAAAACTGCCTTTTGAGCAAATTTTAGTTCCATGGAGGCAACTTCAAACCAATGTCAAATTATGTACACTTGACCTTTGATCCTTAATCTTTTTGCTAAATTATCATATCATAGCAATAAGATTAACGTGAGAAGAAAGTATTGATTTGGAAACTTGAGAAAAAAGTTATGAGCTTGTGAAGTCAAAATCATGACCTATAATTAGAGCTCCAAAATAATTTGAAGTCCAAAATGACCTATAATGTCTTCAAAGTTTTCATGGCTTTCCAAGCATAATTTGCCTTTGATCCTTGAAATAAACTTGTAGAGGGCATCAAACGTGATACTTGGCAAAAAGAACCACCCAAAAAAGTTGTAAATTAATGGAGTTATGATTTTTGGAAGTTAGGCAAATAACACTTGAATTTAGGTCAAATTTCACTAAGTCCACAACATGACCTCTAATATTTCATAATTTTTGATGATCTTCCAAGCATAATTTTCTCTTGACTTGTAAAGAGAAGTTGTAGAGGATGCCAGGAAGAGTATTTTTCCCAAAGAAGCACTAAAAACATATTGAAAAATGAGGGAGTTGTGATATTTTGAACTTGGACTTGAAATGTTAACTTTTTAGGTCAAATTACTTTGAATAAACTTGCAACCTTTGAAATTTTATTGCATTTCAAGGCACTATGATAAACATGTGAACTTCACATGATGGATTCTTACTTGAATTTTAATTGATTTTGGCCACAGCTTGCGGAAACTTGATGAATAAGGCATGGAAATAAACACATGAACCTTGAGAAGTAAGCAACCAAACTTTGAGCTATTTTTGATCAAATGGTGTTGAATGATGCTTGAAGAGATTTTGACCTAATATTATAGCTCGTGCTTTGATAAATAACCTCTTGAGAATCAATGATTGACCATGTTTTGACTTGGGGGCTCAAAACCCTAATTTAGCAACCATGCTTGATGTTCTTGAT